CATGAGCACGGGGTGTTGTACTGAAGTGTGGAATCACTATGCTGTACACCTAAAACAAATATTACACTGTATGTTAACTAACTGGAATTTAAATAAGAACTTAAAAAAAAAAAACCCACAAAGGCACTGACAATAAATACCAAGTGCTGATGATCGTATTGAGCAACCAAAACTCTCATATATGGCTGGTGGGACTGCAAAATGTCATAGCTTCTTTGGAAAACAGTTTAACAGTACTTAGAAAGTTAAGTATTCCCTTATAATACAATTCAGCACTCCCACTTCAAGGATGAAAGTCTTACTTACATAAAAATATGCATACAAAAGTTTATAACAGCTTTATTTGCAATTTCTCAAAACTGGAACTCCCCAAATATCCTTTCACTGGTGATTGGATAAACAGTGGTATATCTGTACAACACGATACTATTTGGGAGTAAAAATGATTACACACAACACAGACAAACCTCAACTGCATTATGTGAAGTAAGAAGAAGCCAGACTTAAAAAGATGCATACTGGATGATCTAATTTATATGAAATTCTGAAAAAATTGAAACTACAGGTATAGAAAACAGGTCAATGGTTGCCATGAGTTTGAGGTAGGACAAGGAGTTGGTTACAAAGGGACAAGAGGAGTATTTTGGGGTGCTGGAACTGTTAGATATCTTTATGATGGTGGTAGTCACACAAAAAAAATACACCAAAAAATACAAAACTGTGTATTTGTCAAAACCCACAAACTATACACTACAATGGGTAAATTTTATTGTATGTAAAGTGAATCTTAATAAAAAACTGGAGAAAAATTAAAAGGCCGTCAATAAGCAATAACATAATTATTTAACATATAAATTATCACATCTTATAACTCATGAGTTATAAATTTTAAAATGGTAGATTTTAATTTTGGATTTAATAATGGATTAAAATTTCACTATTTTGCATTTTAATTTGTTATAATATGGCAAGCTATCTGAATCATCCCTCTGCTGAAACTGTTAGGTAAAAGTTAGACATGAGGAGTGGAAGGAACTCCCCAAGGCAGAGTCCCAAGGCCTTGAAGGGGAATGATAGGGATGGTAGGATGGTGATAAATAAGCTACACTTTAAAAGCCTGGAAGTACAACATCCTGACCTTGTGGCTTCCAAGACCTCTGGGTTGGCTGATCAAGAGCCACAGGCATGGGGCATGCTCTGGTCTCTTCCACCTCTGCCCCAGGGTAACACTTAGACTCAGTATAATGCATTTGCATTGTGGTTACAGTCCCCCCACGAAGGTTGCCATGACAGTTCTGGTACAAACCTTGTAGGGTCAAAAACTTCCTCTCCCAACCTGTGGGAGGAGTCCCCCAAATGATTGGAAGCGCCCTCCATTAGAGACCACCTCACTGTATGTCACAGCTCCTGCCAGCCCAGAGACAATATCCAATCTCAAAACAACCCAGGGCCAGTTCCACCTTGTGGAATCTGCCTGCTCTCTCACCTGGAGAGCGTACTTTCACTTTAATAAACTGCTTTGTGCTTGCTGCTTTCCTTCTGGCGTCTTTATTCTGAGCTCTGGTCCTCACGTAAATCTTTTTGTGGGGAATCCCAGGACTGAGACCTCTATTCACACAATGCAGACTCTCTCACCAGTAACAAAACCAGTTAATAATCCTAAATAAATACATATTCTTAAGAAGCATTAATGAACTGGTAAAATTAAAAGGGAGTCTCAGCACTGAGTAAAAGCTGGGATCCAGATAGGAAAGTAGAGTTCTAGAGCCTACTTTCATTGCTATGGCATTTGGCAATTAGGTTGCATTCGATATAAAATTTTTAGCCTCGTGGGGTGAAAGAAACAAAAAGCAAAAAGCCCAGAGCTGTTTATAAGAGATAACTTTGAAACCTAAAGATTCAGAATATTTGGAAGTAAAATGATTTTTACAAAACAATATATACTAGTTAAAAATCTAAGCAAAAGGAAGGTAGTAAGGTACTAATGTCACTCTAAATAAATATAATAGCAAATGCATTAAAAAAGATTAAAATGGTCACCAGAAAATGTTAATAGATTCAATGACTCAAAAAGTTATAATAGTTTTAAACCTGTATGCACCTACCATCAAAGCCCCAAAATAGGCAATCAAAAATTTGAGGAAAAAACAGGAAAAATAAATCACAATAATAATGGGGGAGTTTAATATATTGCTCTCACAGCTAAAGGAACAGCTGATGAAATAAAATTAACATGATATTGGTGATTTGAAAAACATAATTAATAAAAGTCAATCAATGGACATATATAGAACACTATACCCACCAACTGTGAACTTAAAAAGTTTTTGAAGCATACACAAAACATATTGTATAACAGACCATATTCTGGTTCAAAAGTAGTCTCAAAAAAGTTCAAAGAACTGAGGCATGTGGGTCATTTTCTTTGTATATGGTGAAATTTTGTTAAAAATCAAAACAAAAAGATAACTAGAAAAAAATGTTTGAAAGAAAATCGCCTCTAAATAACCCATGAGTCAGATGAAATCATAACTATTATAAAATATTTAGAAAAAATGATAATGAAAGCGCTACACATCAAAACTTATTTGACAAGACTAAATTAGTACTTAAGTTTCCATTTCTAGGATATTAGAAAAGAACAAAAGTTCAGAATGAATGCTAAACAATCATCTAAAAAGAGATAAACTAAAAGTAAATAAAGAGAGCAGCATAAATTATTTTTTAAAAAACCAGAGAAAAATATATATGAGAGAGAATCAAAAGAACCAAATTATGGCTCTTTGTGAAGATTAATAAAATTGATAAACCTCTGATGAGCCTGATAAAAGTAAGCAAAAGCAGAAGTAGTCAATATTAGGAATACTAGGAATAAAAACGAGGTATAGCTGCACTGTTGTGGATATAAAAAAAGGTAAGATATTAAAAACAACTTTATTCCAATAAATTGGAAATTTAAATAAAACTGACAAATTCCTAAGACAATGTATCTTAAAACTAACCGAAAAAGAAATAGAAAATCCAGATTGCTCTAAAAATGGTTAAGGAAATTACATCATTTTTTGCAAAATTCTTCCCAAAATGAAAACACAAGATAAAGGTGGCTTCAGCACTGAATTCTAACTAAACATTGAGGGAACAAATATTTGCATTATTACATAAATTCTTCCAAAGGATATTAAAATAAGAAATACTCTCTAACTCATTTTATGATGCCAGTATAACATTGATGTTAAAATCTGAGGATAGAATGGGAAAGACAATGATGGGTCAATTCACTCATAAACTTACATGCAAAAATCCCAATCCAAATATTAGCTAAGTAAATCCTGCAATGTATTAATATTACATCATGACCAAGTTGGTTTATCTCAGACATGCAAAGTTGATTTACAATAGAAAATCAGTTCATGTAAGCCACCCAATTACAAAACCATGTACTTGTCTCAATAAATACAGTAAAATAATTTCATAAAATTCATCATGGGTTCATTATTAAACAGAACAAAACAAAAACTTCTTAACAATTTTGGGATAAAAGAGAATGTCGTCATTCAGATGAAAAGCTCTACAAAGCTTTCCCTTAGAGACCAGGAACAAATACTATTCATATTTTTATTTAACATTGTACTGAAGGTCCCAGCCAAAGCATTTAAGTATTAGAAGAAATAAAAGATATAAAAAAATGGACGAAGAAATAAAACTCTCAGCATATGCTGATGTCATATAAAACTCAAAAGAACTTACAGATAAATCATCAGAATCTTTAAACAAAGATTACTGGATGCAAAATCAATATAAAAAAATTAACTCCATTTTTATCCAGCAACAAACATTTAGAAATTAAATTTAAAAGATATCACAGAGAATATAAAAAGTAAGGTCTCAAGGAATAAATCCAACAATAAATGTATATAAAACTTTTTTGATAGAAATTAAAGAGGACATATACAATAAAAAGATGCCATATATACTATGCTAACAGATTGGAAGGTACATTCACACAGAGCCCAAAGCAGTGCTGTTCCTACCAGCCAGATTGGGAAAAATTCATCATTCACAGACCATTTGGTAGAGTGCTCAGGAAAATGTAGCCTCAATAGTGGAAAATAATTAGCCCTTACTGATCACTGCCATGTACCTACCTAACCAATCATAAAAGTAAGACCCTAAACCGTCTTATGATCTCATCTTTTATCTATACATGAAATTCATCTTCAGCTCCTTCTTTATCCTTTTCCCAAAGTACAATGATCTAGACTTCCTGTTACTCAGCTACTGATTACTTGCATGTGGCCTTTCTCATTGTGATATAATGAATATTAGGGGCCCATAACGAAGGTAATCAGGGATGTTGAATAAGTCTTTCAATCTTAGTAATAACTATATGTTTAATTCAATCAAAATCATTGGGTTATTAGTATATCTTATTCCGACAAGAATATAAATCTTTTGCAGTTTCCTCTCCTGTATCTCATCTGTTGTTTCACAATGACTGGGCAACCTTATACATGTCCCCTAAAATCATTGGATTAACACGTTCTGTTTCGACTAACTCAACTTGGAGAATTTGCTTTTCCTATCCTGCTTGTTAAAGGATTTCCCTCCCTGTGGGGATGTTGGCAGATAAGACTGACAATATCATAAGAAATGCGGTTTTTCAGTGTGAGGTGGGAAGTCTCTGAAAAGTTTTACCAGAGGGGTCACATAATCTGATTTTCATTTTATATAGATCATTCCAGCAACAGTCTAAACATAAAATGGAGAAGGATAAGGCAGACTCAGGGAGGACAAATAGGTTATTTTCATAATCCTGGTGAGAAAGGGTGATGGCATAGATTCAGAAGGTAGTGGTGGAGGTGGTAAGAAGTAGTTAATCGAGGATATATTTACAAGGTAGAGCCAAAGGAGTTATTCATGAATTAGATCTGAAGCATGAGGGAAAAGTGAAATACAAGGACAACTCCAAAGTTGTTTTGTTTTGTTTTGTTTTGTTAAAGTGATCAGAAGAATAGATGCCATTTTCCTGAGATGGAGAAAACCATAGGAAAAGGAAGTTTGAAGTAAACCAAGAGTCCTATGAAGAACAAGATAAGTTTGAAATTTCTATGTTTCATTTAAGTGGAGACATGAAGTAAAAAACAGGTGACTATACAAACCTGTAATTAATAGGACTGGAGATCTAAATTTGGGGTCATCTGTATGCAGAGATTTTAAAAGCAGGGAGTTGGATGAAGATACCTAGGAAACAAGAATGAGAAAGGAGAGTACATAAAGCCAGAACCTGCTGCATTTCAGTGTTTAGCAATCAGAAAGATGAGACAGAGTGGAAGTCAAGTAATAAACTGAGTCAAAGATGAAGAATGGCATTGGATTCAGCAATGTGGGGCTATGCTCTGATAAAAGAGCTTTTAGTGGAATTGTTAGGACAAGCTCTAAAGAGGAGTTTAGCCATAAAAGAGAAACAGAGAAATGGGGTGATTGTTAGAAGAGTGCATAGAATTTAAAAAGTTTGTATGTTTAATACAGGAAATAATACTGCATATTCAATAATGATGGAAATTCCCAGAGATTAAAAAAATAGATGATCCTTATTTCTTCAATCCTGTTTGGTTCACTTTTTCAGAATTTTATGCAATTTAATGAATTTAATGACATCATTGAATTAGTTTGAGGGTTTTTAAAAAATATCAAACATACTTTCCCACAGAGTTTACTTTATTTATATTTACTTTATCTCAAAAAATTGTTAACATATCGAGATAAGTGTTTACATCCACTATTAGCAATAGGCATGCCTTTATTAAAATATTTCTTATTGGGCGCCTGGGTGGCTCAGTTGGTTAAGCGACCGCCTTCGGCTCAGGTCATGATCCTGGAGTCCCGGGATCGAGTCCCGCATCGGGCTCCCTGCTCGGCGGGGACTCTGCTTCTCCCTCTGACCCTCCTCCCTCTCATGCTCTCTGTCTCTCATTCTCTCTGTCTCAAATAAATAAATAAAATCTTTAAAAAAATAAAAATAATAAAATATTTCTTATTATATCAGTTCTATTTTTGAAATTTTAAAAATTAATCTTAACATCCACATAAAATTCTAAATTGTTTAGATTGGTTACCTACACACCCTGCATTCACCACATAATGGCTCCAGTATATCCTGCACTTGGTCACAAATTGACATTCAGTCTATAATTCTTACTTATACAAGATTTACATTTTATTTATTTTTTTAATTTTTTTTAAAGATTTTATTTATTTATTCATGAGAGAGAGAGAGAGGCAGAGGGAGAAGCAGACTTCCTGCAGAGCGGGGAGCCCGATGCGGGACTCGATCCCAGGACTCCGGGACCATGACCTGAGCCGAAGGCAGACGCTTAACCATCTGAGCCACCCAGGCGCCCAAGATTTACATTTTATTAAGTAAAAACAGAGAGTTGGTTTTAGAAAAATATGATGTAATGACCAAAATTTGGGAAGGGTTTGAATTAATAATAGGGAAAAATTGCTAAGTTATAGAGAGTATTCCACAGGCGTGGAAAGTCAACTTTACATTCACTATTTTTTTTACAGACCTGTTTTACAGACCTGGAATTTAAATCGTTAAAGTGTATATAAGTAACTTGCTGAAAGTTACACAGCTGGTGAGTAGCGGAGCTGGAGTTTGAGGTCACACTTGCAACAGTCATAGTATATGGCCTCTCAGACTAATACATGGCTAGAGGTAGCCTCTCAGGCCAGTATATATATATGTACCCATTCCTCCACTTATGAAAAGGGAAGTCACATTTAAGTACATCAGGAATCATTCGTCAAGTATTTAATTTATATTTCACCACTTAAAATTATGAATTAAGAGATGGAGTATTTCAATGTAGCAAATTACCTCCTATTGAAAGAACTGGGCAAAATTTCGTTATTGAGGAAGAGAAACATCTTATTTCTCAAAAACCTGTATTTTGAATTAGAATATATATCCACTGTGCATTTGGAAGGAGGAAGCCAGAAACTCAGAACTCTAAAAGCAACTTTTGAGGCAGACAAAATTCCTTTGGGACTTCCTGTCAAGCTATTTTCAGTAAGGAGTACAAATATTTTGTTCAAAATACTAAGAAAAGACTTTAAAACATCTCCTAATAGGGGCAAAAATGGCCTGTTGAACAGAAACTAATTTTTCCCGATGCCTATGATATTATTTTACATGAAAAATCAGAGTTTACTACTATTGGTTTTGTTCTCCCTTTCCTTTTGTGCTGTTTAAAACTGGCTATTAATCTTTTGTAATTCCTTAGCATTTAATTCAGTGCTAAACTTAAATATTTGTTGATTGATTGCTCCTTTTTATCTAATGAAAAGAATTCCAACACTTTAAGAGAGAAATAATATAGCCCTCTAACCACTCATGAGTACTCTCCTATACTTTGTCTTCACTATCAAGACTAAAGTTGGGGACGGATTGTAATACTTTACCACCTGAAGGAGGCAAGATACTGAACATGTCAATTCTAAAGCAAAGGGTAAAGTTCCCCACCCTCCATTCTCTATGGCCTTTCTTCTCCTTTGAGGTGTCCCTCCTCACACCTTCAGGGATGTCTAGTGTCTGCTATCATAATTTGCTCAATAAATAGGCTCTGAAACCAATCATCTTTACCTTAGTGAAAATTAAAACTTCTGTATATTCTCTCCTTAAAGGATTTTTATTTTAAGCCTTGTTTATAACATGACATGGGAAATATTATCCCCTTTCTCCTTTAAAGACATTTGAACATCAGGGCGCCTGGGTGGCTCAGTTGGTTAAGCGACTGCCTTCGGCTCAGGTCATGATCCTGGAGTCCCTGGATCGAGTCCCGCATCGGGCTCCCTGCTCGGCAGGGAGTCTGCTTCTCCCTCTGACCCTCCCCCCTCTCATGTGCTCTCTCTCATTCTCTCTCTCTCAAATAAATAAATAAAATCTTTAAAAAAAAAAAAAGACATTTGAACATCAGAGATTATGAAGACATATTAGTGAAGGTAGAAAATAAGCCTCAAGAAGTTTATTTATGCATTCCAAATAACACAAATCTATTCATAGCTAGTCCAAAATAAACTATAATAAATTGCATGAAATGACAAATTAATATGAGGTGCTTGAATAATAGAATCATAGGACTGGACAGAACATAAGAATTTATTATATTCTATAATATATAGCCTATATTCTTCCTTCCACCCAAGGCAGCAATCTTTTCTATAAGAGCACTAACAGATGGTCAACAACTTATACCACTATTTTGGGTTTTCTTACTAAAACAGCTAGATTTCAGAAATTTCTTGGCAAGCTACTAGTCAACTGCAGAAATGCATCTGCTCAGAAACCCAAAAATAAACATGTTTCCCAGAGGAATGAAGTATGTTCTATAAAATCCTGGCCCGTTCATGGAATGTGGTAAGCATGAATTTCATTGCAATTCTACTATGATGGCGGTGAGGTCCTTTATGTCAGAATAAGAGATGTTGAATGTAGTTGGTGATAGCTCGAAATTAGAACAGAGAGCTATGAACTGAGAGATGTATGCTCCAAACCTAAATGTATCCTGGCATCAGATTTCAGAAAGTTAAGAAATAATGTTTCATAAGGCAATTCATTTCATAATTTTAAGCCATTGTACTCATTATACATGAAATCTGCCATTATACTTAGAATCCAGTGAATTAAATCTGGACCAAGCATACCCTTTAACTGACAGAGAGCCTTTGGGTGGGAAGACCACACCCTGAGTTCTAGGCACACTGGCATACTAAGTATTTCCAGGCAGGGATGAGACACTGAACTCAGCAAAAAATTGGACAAAAGGAGTTTCTGAACACAACTAATCAGTCTGTGTGCATTTCTGTATGGTATGAAATACCTAGAATGCTTCTTAAAATGTAACAATGCTTTTAAACTTTTATTTTTATACAGCCATAAATTTCAAATTTACTCATTAGATATTATTGCACATATATCAGAATTTGACATATGATCTTTCAGTCCTTCAGACAGAAAGTGATAACCTTGGTAATCTATAATTGCTTAACACTCCTTGCTCTCTCTGCTTTTGAAAGTTTCCCATGACTCATTTAACGGAGAAAAGATTACATTAATATTCAATGATATATGACCAACCATTTAAAATAATTTCTACTCTAATCTGGAAGAAATTTTGAAATCTAATATTACACAAATTATATAAATATATTATATAAATGCTATATTTATGAAAATATGTGGATATATATTGTAGGCAGAGATTAGTTTCAAAAAATGAGGCAATTATATGGCACCACACACAATATCAATATGAACAACTTGGATTTCATGTCTTAAGACTTGATTATTTTTGTGAATTTTACCATATTAGGGATATTTCCTCATGATCCTGATTCTAACTCAAAATACTCTTTACTCTTCTTTACTGTGCCCCTAACACCCTCTTCCCAACACCACCTGCAGAATAAATAAATAAAAATAAAACAGAAACTTTAGGAAGGTTTTGTACTTCTAATGGTGCTTACGCAACTTTTGGATAACTTACGTGCACACTAATCAGAAACGCATGGGACTGAATTCCCTTTGAGATTTTCAATCTGGGTGAAAGGATTGACAAATGATTTAACAACAGCAAAAAAATCAAGAGCATTCAGCCTCACAAATCTCTAAATTTCTTCCGAGTTCATTTATATTTAAAAGAGAAGCATGTGCTGGAGGCCTGAGTTAGGGAAACTGACTGGTTATCTGATGTAGGGCACTGGCACCTCATTCGCCACCCACCACCTGAATTTATCATCTCAACCAAGATGATTTTGAGTTAAAAGGAGAGCCTAAGCTAGGATGTATGGTCTATCTACTTCTATCCTACATCTGTTCTGTATCTTGGATGGGCTCTGAAAACTCTTGTAGTGTGAAGGTAATTCATTATACTCCCTCCTGTTAACTCCCTCATTATAACCTCCTGCAAGAAAATTATCAGGCTTTTATTCTTATAATACCCTCAATTTTCTTCCAGAAATGTTCTGATCTGTGTACTCATTATTTTCCGATACATACTACACATCAGGCACACAGGGGTGGAAAAAAACAGCCACCTTTCTTCCCTTCCCAGAGCTTGCACTCTAATGGACATTTCATGGGACTGGTATCTGTAGAAGCTGTTTTGGGAAGCACAGCTTTGGGTATGTACCAAAAAGACACAGGGAAGGCCCAAGGAAGGAAAAGATTTTCAGTGGTCTAGATAGGAAGGAAAGATGATATAAACCAGAAATGGAAAAGTGGAATCACATATGATATAGTTTAGACATGAAATCAGCAAGATTTTGTAACTGCTTGACTTTGGAAATCAAAGATGAATTTCACTGGAAAAATAGTTGTACTAATACAAAGAAAATACAAGAGGCTTGGGAAAGATACTGAGTTTAGATTTGTATATGAGTTTTATATGCTCTGTAACAAGTTCCTGCAAACTCAGAAGCTTAAAACAATATACCTTTATTATCTCAAAGTTTCTGTTGATCAGCAGTCTGGGCATGGCTTAGTTGGGTCCTCTGTCGGGGAGTTCACAAGGCTGCAATCAAGATGTTAACTATGCTGCATTCTCATCTGGAGGCCTGACTGGGGAAGATTACTTTTCTAAGCTTTTTCAGGTTTCTGGTGGAATTCATTTCTTTGTGGCTATATAACTGAGGTTCCAGCTTCTTACTGACTGTTGGCGGAAGGCCACCTACATGTCTCAAAGGTAGTTCCTTGCCATGTGGCCTTCTCCATAGGTAATTCACAATGTGGCCTTTTGTTTCTTCAAGGCCAATGTTAGCATCTATGCTAAGATAGTCTTGCATAACATAACTTAATCAAGGCAAGACATCCCATCATCTTTGCCATACAATATAATCTAATTAAGGGAGTGAAATCCCATCACTTTTGCCATATTCTATGGCTTAAAATATGTCACAGATTCTCCTGACATTCGAAAGGAGAGGATTATAGGTGAGCAGGACTCAGTGAGGCTCACCTCAGGGTCTATCTATCACAGTTTGGATGTGCTCTATTTGAGGTTTTAAAGGATCCTTCTGGTGAAAAAGTCATCAGCAGTTATAAAATGGAGAGTGTACATCTGGAAAGTTCTGTCCTTAGTGAACTTTAATAACAACTTGATTAAACTACTATATCCTCATACTTCTTTATCCAGCTTGTGCTAGATAAGTTATAAAATCAAGAAGAGTAAACCTTACTGTGACAATAAAAAATGAAATCATATTTGTCAGTTGGGAATGAAAATAAAACATAGGAAGATATATTTAATGGTATCATTCAAGCAGGACTAGAAAGCATGGAGATGGATGTTTATCCCTTAAAGCCAAAGATAATCTAATTTCCTTATCTGAAAAGCGTCATAGCACATAAATTGGCAGCCTCTCAGCCAAATATCTCTTGGAAAAAGAAGCAATACCTCCCACTACACTTTAGCTTCTGAGCCAATTTCCATCTAACGCACAGAAGTTGATTCTAGTCAGCTCTCAACAAAATCTTGACCTTTGAAATAGCATTTGGAAAATTGAAGGGAGATTTAGAAACAGACAATACACTGAAAACTGATACTGCATTATCAGCTACTCCCTTTGTTCCCTTTTTCTCCTATCCCTAAGTGACCAAATGAAATGAGCCTAGATCAAATTTATCTTGGATTTATGTGACCAAATCTGTTAACAAATCAATAACATTACTTGTACATAAAGCTACACCCCTACTTACTCTCACTGTTTTTTAAATTTCTGGTGGCTTTGGCCAATAACCACTTCCCCTAAAGTCAGAAAATAGGACAGAGGTGCCTGGGTGGCTCAGTCGGTTAAACATCTGACTTTTGATCTCAGCTCAGGTCTTGATCTCAGGGTCATGAGTTCAAGCTCTGCATTGGTCTCCATGCTGGGCATGGAGCCTACTTAAAAAAATTAAATTAAAAAATATAGAACAGGGCGCCTGGGTGGCTTAGTCGTTAAGCGTCTGCCTTCGGTTCAGGTCATGACCCCAGGGTCCTGGGATCGAGCCCCGCATCGGGCCCCCTGCTCCGCGGGAAGCCTGCTTCTCCCTCTCCCGCTCCCCCTGCTTGTGTTCCCTCTCTCACTGTCTCTCTCTCTGTCAAATAAATAAATAAAATCTTAAAAAATAATAATAAATAAATAAATAGATAGATAAATAAATAAATAAATAAAAATTAAAAAATCTAGAACAAAAGATCATCATATTCCACAAAGAAAAAAATCCAGTAACTGTAAAGAATTTCCTTCTGCCCAAATTTTAAATTAGTTACATTATATAATCATGAGTTTAAAAAAGCTACTTCATAGATACATTTTAAAAAGATAGATATAGGGACACCTGGGTGGCTCATTTGATTAAGCATATGCCTCAGGTCTCAGGTCATGATCATGTCTCAGGTCATGAACCCAGGGTCAATGGATCGAGCCCTGCATCGGGCTCCCTGCTCAGTGGGGAGCCTGTTTCTCCCTCTGCCCCCACCCATGCTCCTGCTTTCTCTCTTTTTCTCTCTCTCTCAAATAAATAAATAAATAAAATCTTTTAAAAAAAGATAGATATAAAACCTCAAAAGGTACACCATAACAAGGAGAAATATTTGGGACATATATGGCAAGAACTGCTATCTTTTATATCTGAAGAGTCTTTAAAATAGGAAAATAAAGATTAAAACAATAATAGTAGAAGGAGAAGTAAAAGATACAAAGAAACACAATAGCTAACGTGCTTCTGAAAAAAATCTCATCCTTATTTGGAATGAAAGGCATGTAAATTAAAGCATTAACTATTTTAATATATCTAATGAGCAAATTAATACATCCAGGTGGGAATACAGAAAAAAAAATAGTACTTTTAAGTAGCTAGAGATGGCATAAACTGGCACAAGTTTTCTGGAAGATAATTTCAATATCCATCAAAAGTTCTAAACTGTGATGATTCTTTGCACCAGCAATTCTATTTCTAGGAATTAATCTTAAGGAGGAAAAAAATGTGACTTAATGCCAAGGATTTTTATCACAGTTTGCTTGTAATAGGAGAAAATGGGTATGAAATAATAGAGGATTAGTAAAATAAATTACGATATAGTTACACCTTGAAATACTGTTGACCTGCAATACATTTTAACCTCTTTTCCCACTCTATGCCCCATCCCCTGCTCTCTGGGAACCACCGCCTACCTCACACCACACACAGGAGGGTTTGTGTCACGTAGTCCTTGGCATCCACCCCTTCCCCCTGGATTCATAGCTAATTAGGTGTGGCTACACCAAGCTAGCCCAATAAATTTTCTCTCCTAGCAGTTTAGAATTGGAATTAAGAGGCTATGGTAAATCTGCACTGTACTTGAGTACCATTTATACAGATGAGGAGAGAAAATAAAGAATGAAACAAAGGAGCAGGGGAAAGAGGCACTGTGGGATGTGTGCTAGGGCCAAGGTCAAGCATCAAACCCCAGAATTACACATATCCTTGACAGAATTGCAAAGAAGGATCTTATTTTTGGAGACCTTGCCTTCTATTTCTTAGCCCTTCCTCCCCATCTCTTCTTGGTTTTCATTTAGGTGTCATATATATATATATATCATTTAGGGTTCCTAAGAAAAAAACTCCTAACAACACCCTAATTCTTCCCTCGAAGGTTGATCAACCTCCAGAACCAACACTAACTGTGTTGTGTTGGGTGACCGGATAATCCAGTTGCATGTAATTCATTATAAAAGCTGAAACTGCCCGATGCCACCTCTTCCCAGCCCTGGCAAAAACAGAGGGTAGACTCCCACTAAACTCACCCTCTGATGCTCTCCCACCTGCCTTTGAATCTTAAATAGTGGCATTCTACCCATACTGCCTTGCTTTCTTCGTCTTGGTATTCCGCATCACCCGGGCTCCTGCTCATTCCCATACTTATCCTTCGGCCTCCTACTGGTTTTCTGGGACCCCAATAGCCTTCTAATATGTTTCCTTTGATTAAGTTAGCCAGATCCAATTTTATGGGAATATTTTAAAATATGTTAATAGGTGTTTTTCTTTCTCACATTTCCATGTATATTATGCTGTTCCCCTTTCAGCTAGTGGAACCTTGGCCAATATGTTAGGGAAGCTTTGAATTAAAACAGAAATGCAAGATGGCAAGGTGTCCATGTTCAGCTTTTGATTTCCAAAATTAGATTTTTTGAACCCCCAGTGAGATTCTTGAAACTGACGCTTTGTTTAAAGGGATAAGGTTTTTTTATAAATCCCCTAAACTCCAATTCCCATATAAGGATACAGGCCTGATGTACTTTGGTCCTAGAGTTTTACTGAGCTCTAGGGAAATGGGGACAGGATAGGATGCAAGGGAAGAGGGGAGAGCAGCAAAGTCTTTTGCCATGCAAAAAAGGCACACGTCTCAGAGGTAATACAGTTAAAGCTGATGAAGTACCTGGTTCCCTTGTCAGAACTAGAACAGGCCCATACTGCCATCCCAGTGCCTCAGGCAAAGGGAAAGAGAACAAAATCTTTCAAAATGCCCATAGAAAGCTGAAATAGGTTAAGGGAGAGCTCCATGTTGTGCTGCTCTGTCAACAGGCCAAAAAACTGTACAGTGGGGACTGGGAAGGGAGGCATTCAATGGTATATCCAAAAGGGTGCCCCAATCCTCCCATAGCCTGTGCATGGTGTGCCAGAGACCCAGGAGCTCCTAGTGTGACCAGTGGGGGAATAGAGAGATGCCACAAGGACCTAGAAGGGACTCTGAATTGGGGAAAAAAGACCACATACCTAGTAAAGGAACCTCACACCTGAAGACAACAACCAATAAAATCAATCCCTCTGTAGCAAAGAACATCAAGAACACAGAAGACAGTGGCCCCAACTTCTGCCACATTAAGGTGGGTGCAACCTCTGCCTGCACGTTGGGAAGAAGGATGGGGAGGGGAGAGCTTTTGTTGGCAGGAGAAACAAACAAAATAGGGTTCTAAATTGTTGAAAATAAGAATATTTCCTCACAAGAGACTGAGTTATCTTTACTTGAAAAAGCTGTACCATAACTGAATATAGAGAATACATTTAATTCCTGCTACATTTGTCATCAAGTAAACTCAGTAAGATAATTGTGTGTGCGTGTGTGTGCGTGTGAGCGTGTGTGTAGGTACAGACTGAAAAATGTATATTGAAAAAGAAGCTACAGATGCAGTTGGGTTCTTTCCTATTTCCAAGGTGCCTACTTCTAGGCCTACACCCTCAACTTTGTCTTTTCAATCTGTGCTCAGATCTTTTTTCCTCTATTACAATTTACTCTGACACAAAAAGAAACACAAAATGCATACAGACTTCATTATTTAAAGAGAGAAAAAAAGAAATATGGTTGCTAATATGCCTCATGTCTTCAACTATCTCAAGTCATATGTCCAGAGAGAGGAAAATCTTTTAAGTATTGAAATATTGTGAAGTTCACTGTATAGTATATTCTGCAGAATGAAGACAATAGGAATAAAATGAGAGCAAGAATAAAAATTTGTAGTGAGCCAAGTCACCATGGTTGCTGAAAACAGTGACTTAGGGGACACTGGTAGTGACACCACAAAACTCTAGGTAATGTGTTGGAAGAAGGGTGCTGCAAGGAAAATGTGGGGTGCACATAAACGTTATCTACTGAAGGGATGAAGCTAAGATGGGTAGAAGTCCATACATTAGCCAGTCCTCTGAAATCATACCACATTGGCAGTTACCAGTTTGGGGGAGACAGTTCTCCATGTGTCTCTCAATTTTCTGCATGTCTTGTCAGTGCTGGTACTGACTGACTTTTTCTTTTCAAGAATGATTTATAGTGAGCAGCTCTGGAAGACAGAGCTAAGTCTCCCTTTGGGTCACAGGGCATCTTTGTTGATTGTCTAATAGAATAAAGACATTGTATCCCTCCAGAGCAAAAGTTAGGCAGGTTTGCTTACTTTCCATTAAAAGATTCAAATTCACTAAGCTTGGGGCTTTTCATTTGTGATGGGAAACCACTGCATAAATAAATAATATAATAAAGGCACATTCTGACTTTTATAAAACACCATTAATCTCACTCAAGACTTTTTTTTAGTATAATTGACACAATGTTACATTAGTTTCAGATGTACAACATGGTGATTCAACATCTCTCTATGTTACAGTAGGCTCACCACACATGTAACTACCATCTGTCACCATACAACACTATAATAATACCATTGACTATATTCCCTATGCTGTACCTTATATTCCTGTGACTTATTTATTCCATAACTGGAAGTCTGTATCTCTCACTCCCCTTCACCCATTTTACCTATTCCTCTATCCCCATTCCCTCTGGCAACCATCAGTTTGTTCTTTGCATTTATACGTCAGATTCTGCTTTTTGTTTGCTTAGTCATTTGTTTTGTTTTTTAGATTGCACATATACGTGAAATCATGATATTTGTCTTTCTCAGTCTGACTTATTTCACTTAGCATAATACCCTCTAGGTCCATCCATGTTGTTGCAAATGGCAAGATCTCATTTTTTATGGCTGTGTAGTATTCCTGTGTGTGTGTTTATGTGTGTGTGTGTCTGTGTGTGTTATGCCACATCTTCTTTATCCATCCATCAGTGGACACTTAATCTGCTTCCATATCTTGGCTATTGTAAATAATTCTGAAATAAACATAGGGATACATATATCTTTTCAAATTAGTGTTTTTGATTTCTTTGGGGAAATACCCAGTAGTGGAATTATTGGATCATATGGTATTTTATTTTTAATTTTTTGAAGAACTGTTTTCCACAGTGGCTGTACCAATTGACGTTCTCACCAATCATGCACGAGAATTCCTTTCTCTCCATGTCCTTGCCAACATTTGTTATTTCTTATCTTTTTTAATTTTAGCCATCCTGACAGGTAATCTCACTCTAGACTTTTGAAAATAGTAGAACCATGCTATTTTATCACAGCAGCTACGGATTGACTATTTTTCTCAAAGACACTTTTATCTATGGAAGAAATAAGCTTTGTTATTTTCATTTGTATTTGATAAACGTGGATGCAATGAAAGTTATATAATTCTTGATTACACATACCTTATCATGCTAATTAAACATTACTGATGTAAATTATTCCCTGATCCAAATATATTTCTCTGTGTCATTGAGGTGAAAACAGCCAGTGAAGGCTTTAAGTTAAAATACATTTGAATTGTTTATGGCTAGGTACCATGAAACACTTTATAGTGTCTTAAAGGTAATTGTCAAGAAAAGTGTATACTTCAGTAACAATTTGGCTAAACACCCAAAAACCAAAGTAATTCCAAGATTAAGTATCTACACTCAAACCAGCAAGTATATCTTTAAAAGTTTTGTAGATTGTTTCTCTTGGGTGAGATGATTGGGGGTGGGTGGGTATAGTAGGAAGGAAGAAGCACTGCCTCACAATAAACTGATTAACACGGTTGTTAAAATCACTCTTATCGATGGTCTTTGCACTTGTTTAGAAATAAAAGAGAAAACATGTCTGTGAGTCACTGCATGTTGTCCTTTCTATCTTGGCAGGTCACCTTGTTCTAGCAAATAGAAACTGAGTCAACGTGAAAAGAGTCAGAATTTGGACAAAGTCATCAAACATTCACACTGATGCCAGGTGGGCCAGAGAAAGAGAATGTCCTGCAACTGGAGTTGCTAAAACAATTTTATGTTCAATTTAAATCAAGTGTTCAGCATTGTGAAGTCAGAACTTCAAATCTCCAATAAAAAACAAGAACAGAATTATTCCCTGAAACTCCTGATTGGATTCATGGTAGTCTAATAAAATTTTAACTTTAAAGGGAGCAGATAGCATTGTGGAAAAGGACTCATTGGTGGCCTGCACTTTCCCACTTATGGTTAAATCACCTCCCTCCATACATGCATATATTAAATTCAAATGGTATGAGATCAGTTACATTTCCTATTCTACACTTTCTCACATTTCCTACTCCCCAATCCCCATCCCCATTTTTATAGATACTGATCTTAGAAAAAAAACCTCTTAAATGTTGTGGGGGGGGGAGGGGAGGAGATTAATCTTATATTTTTAAAAAAACCTCCATTAAAACCAATTTGTAATTTTGAGTCAGAAGATGCTTCATAGGACATAAACAAGGACTCAAATTGGCACTGGATATTAAATGGAATTATATAGATTTTTAAGGAACGCTCTTCATTTTTACAGTGTCTGTCGATAGCTTTTCTGCAGGACACATTTTTAACTACTATATTGTTCAACTTGAAAAAGAGTTAGGGTGAGGAAGATTATAGCTGAGGCATTCAGCAGGATTTCCTGTTTTTGGTGGCTCCTTTTTCCTCCTCGGTAATGAGTTTTTCACATTTTAAAAGCTGCCTGTGTGTTTTAATACTATTCAATCTTCCTCCACCCTTGAAGAAGCTATGGGGTAGGGGAAGACAGACTGTTCCAGTGCTGGCTCTTTCCTTTCTCAATGACATGAAACAGTTTCTTAACCCCACTCAACGTTATTGATAAAATTATCTGAATTGTCACAGAAGTGTGGCGTGGCTCAAACAAAATGTTTTATATATTTAACGAATCAATACGTAATAAAGATCCTGAAGTGTTAGTAGTAAATTATATGACATCAATAAATCCACCAATATCCAAAGGGAAAAAAGAGAGCTCCATACCCATGGGAAATACCATCCATTTAACTTGTCCACAAAATCACAATGCAAAATAGCACCCTGTGCCTCCACTTTATCAGAGTCAAAAAAAGCATGAGGCATAGTAATCTTGAAGTGATTTAGGATCTGTTTGATTTTTGTGTAATTTGCACATGCCCCTCTGCAAAGTTCCCAGGTGACTGGGTGATTATACAATGATGATTTTAAAAGTTTATTTGTGCAAAACTAGATTCCAACCCAGCTGCACCAAACTCGAGGTGGTTTAGGAATACTTCCCGACAGGAGCCAGGGAAGCAACTTATATAGAGAAAGTGCAAGAAGCAAAGAAAGGAAATTATTGATTGGTTATAGCTTAAAGCCTACTTAGTGGTTTCTAATTTGGTTTTGATTTTGTCACCTTGAGGCATTTACAGGCTTAGATTTTGGTTTGCTTACATAGGCCACCATGACATTAGAGCCACATCAGCCTCCTTCTTTAATTAATTTAACATACCCAAAAGAACAAATTCAAATGGTATCAAAGGAAAGCTTACATTTTCTGTCCTGCTACCTGCCATTTATCCCACTTGCCAGAGTTTCTACTTTAGTTCTGGTGGTTTCCTCTTCATTCCCCACTCTGATAACTTTTTTGTTACTGTTTTTTTTTGGTTTGGGTTTTTTTCATAAATTTTCATTTTAATTCCAATTAGTTAACACCTAGTGTTATATTAGTTTGGAGTGTACAATATAGTGATTCAAGGATTCCACACATCACCCGGTGCTCATCAGGACAAGGGCACTCCTTAATCCCCATCGCCTATTTCACCCATCCCTCCCTGACCTCCCCTCTGGTAACCATCAGTTTGTTCTCTATGGTTAAGAGTCTATTTCTTGGTTTTCCTCTCTCTTTCTCTTTTTTTCCTTCACTCATTTGTTTTGTTTCTTAAACTCCACATACAAGTGAAATCATATGGTATTTGTCTTTCTCTGACTGACTTATCTTGCTTAGTATTATACTCTCTAGTTCCATCCATGTTGTTGCAAATGGCAAGATTTCATTCTTTTTGATGGCTAAAGAATTTTTCATTACATATATAGGCCCTTTGAGAATGGTGTCTCCTAGACTTGGACAGTGCATAGCCCATGTGGATTAATGTAGGGGCCCCAATTATACTTACATTTCATTACTGTATGTCCATAATTAATCTTTAAAGCCTTGTCTAGAGTTGATTCATTGAAGCTGGAAAACAACAAATAGCATTTACAATGTCATGATTTTGGTAATATTATTCACTATAGAAGTGGATAGTATGCTCTTTTTCTCTTTTTCTGAGTCTTTACATTTCTGAAATTTCACTAGGATAAGTCCAGGTGGGGCTTTTCCTCATTCATCCCATTTAACACTTTGTGGGCTTTTAAAAATTGCAGACTTGTGTCTTTTTTAATCAGATAATTTTCTCCTATTACATCTTTGATCATTTGAATTCTTCTATTTTTCTCTGTTCACTCTAGAACTTTTAATACGTGCTCACTGTCCTGAATTGATTCTCCATAGTTAGATTTTATATCCTTTTTGCTGTATATTCTGAGATATTTAATTGATTTTATTTTGTCTTCTGTTTCCTTTCACTTTTTAAATTTGGGCAACTATTTTTCAATTTCCAAGAACTCTTGCTTGTTGCCTAAGCACTCATCTTTTATAGCAGCCTAAGCTTACTTATGGTTGCAATACTTAATCCGATCTTTCTGAAGATAGCAGTAACAGTTTTAAATTTTTTTGTTTGTTCATTTTGATTATCCTTTTTGCCTTACTGATTTTCCTTAATGAGCATTGGTCCCCAGGCATTCATATTGGCAAATAAAAGACTAACTTGACTAGCATATGTAGCTGTGAAGGGTTTCTTCTGAAGTTCTGTTTCTCTATGGTTAGTATAGACATCTTCACTTCTTTTAAAAGATTTTATTTATTTATTTGAGAGAGAGAGATAGTGAGAGAGAGCAAGAGCAGGGGGTAGAGGGAGAAGCAGACTCCCTGCTGAGCAGGGAGCCCAATGCAATGCAGGGCTCAATCCCAGGACCCTGGGATCGTAACCAGAACTGAAGGCTGACGCTTAACTGACTGACCACCCAGGTGCCCCTGGCAATCTTCATTTTAGAAAGGAATGGGAGAGAAAGTGATGCAAGTTGGGGGTTCCCTATCATCCCACGTTTGTTCTGAAGTGCCAAAACCTGTATTAGAAGCTGTAGCACTTCGGATGACTATTCAATTTCTTTGGCCATCAGCCCTCTGATTTAGATAGGAGCTAAAGGGGATTGGTTAAACGCTTCAATTCATCCTATTTAGCTGTTCCATCAAGAGTACTTCAAGTAATTACTCTCTTCCCAATTCTGCCTGGTAGAACTGCTGCTGAGGGGGTGTGGAAACTCTATAGAGGCCTGTCATAAAGGAGGGAAACAGCCCTGAGGCCACCTTCTCTGCTGCAAATTGTGGGCTGCTGCTAGAGGTATTCCATTTCATCTGTCAAAAAGTATTTAGCTTCTTCTGCCTTTCAGGTATGTATTCAAGCTGCTGGGTCTATTCATGAACACTCTTCCATCCTAAGTGATTTTCTCTTCAGGTTAATGGCATGGGAAAATGGCAGAGGAGAAAACTAAATGTACTTCCTAAACATTCCATTTAAAACTGAATTTTAGGGGCACCTGAGTGGCTCAGTCATTGAGCGTCTGCCTCTGGCTCCGGTCATGATCCCAGGGTCCTGGGATCAAGCCCCACATCGGGCTCCCTGCTCGGCCGGAAGCCTGCTTCTCCCTCTCCCACTCCCCCTGCTTGTGTTCCCTCTCTCGCTGTGTCTCTCTCTGTCAAATAAATAAACAAAATCTTAAAAAAAAAAAAAAAAAGAAAGAAAAGAAAAAACAAACTGAATTTTATTCCTTTTCTTTGGTAGAATGAAAAGAAACATCTTTTTCCCCCCCAGAGTGTCATAAAAAGGTGCCTGATTTATCATCCAAACCAGGACACTTTGGGACTGACAATGGGTTCCAATAACAATGATGCCTGGCTAACAGGCATGCTCCACGACTGATCTGGATGAACCAGATGCATGCTCACCCTACACCTAACTAGGCACAAGATCAGTTACAAAAAGACTTTAGGCCAAAGAAGAGAAAAGAAAGTTAGACAAGAGAAGTATGCCATTCTGTGAGGAGACATAAAATACCCATCTGGGTACACTGGGCCTAATACAACCAGGATATTTTACAGGTAATGAAGTTATAATCAAGTAGAACAAAACAGCTTAGAGAACAGTATTCATTTTACTATCTCAATGTACAGCAAAAACTTTTCTAGGGTATTATGTTTCAAGAGCAATAACAGCATGTTAATTCAGTGTGTTGGGGTTATGATTTTGGCAGTGATTTTCAACTGAGGTTAATTTGCCTTTCCCTCTACCTCTCCATCTTCCCTCCCCTACCACACACACACACACACACACACACACACGGTACATTTCTTTCTTTTTTTTTTTTTTTTAAAGATTTCTTTTATTTATTTATTAGAGACAGAGAGAGAGAGGCAGAGGGAGAAGCAGGCTTCCCATGGAGCAGGGAGCCGGATGCAGGACTCGATCCCAGGACCCTGAGATCATGACCCGAGCCGAAGGCAGACGCTTAACCATCTGAGCCACCCAGGAACCCCACACGGTACATTTCTTAACGCTGGAAGACATTTTTGGTTATCAATACTAGAAAATGCTGCTGGAATCTATAGGTGGAGTCCAAGGATGTTTCTAACCATCCTAGAATGCATTCAATAGCCCCCACAATACACAGAGGTTTTTAGTCCAAAATATCAATAGTGCTGAGTTGAGAAGCCCTGAATTAGATTTAGAAAATGCCCTGAACAGAACTTGCAGAAGCAAGCATACGGTGAGCATGTCACTTGGGAGTAACCAGTAACTCCCATAATACTTGTTAGCTTTCTTTTCTCTGACATGGCTTCTTTCTGACATTTTGACACATTGATTAAGCTTCCAAATTGCAAGCTGATGACAACCTCCTGGCCTGACTGACCAGTGAAGAGATTTTTCCCAGACTTTTAAGTGGGAACTCAACCCAAAAAAAGAGTGATACTCATATAAATTAATTGTGATCCCTTCTGCTCCAGGCATCTGCAACACAAGGGTCACACATGCGAACATTCATTCCATATTAGTTAAGTCATTTCTAAGAGTATATTTGCAACTTTAAGTCAAGCTCTTTCTTTTTTTTTTTTTAAGATTTTATTTATTTATTTGAGAAAGAGCGTGAGCAAGAGAGAACACAAGCCTGGGGAGGGGCAGAGGGAGAGGGAGGAACAGACTCCCCACTGAGCAGGGATCCTGATGTGGGACTTGATCTCAGGTTCCTGGGATCATGACCTGAGCTGAAGGCAGATGCTTAATGGACTGAGCCACCCAGCAGCATTTTCTTTGTTTCTATAGAATTAAGATTTCTGAGTAAACTGATATGTTAACTTAAAATTCAACCACAAAGTCTATAGTAGAAATATCTTACAAAAATGGAGTGATATAATTTATGAGAATTTGGGAGGGGTTATTTTTTAATATAGCTGACTTTCAGAACAAAGCTTTATCCATTCCAGTAAAGTTAGTTCCTAAGTCATTAATAATTATTACAACATTTTAAATTCAGGCCTCTTGATTTTCTCTGAGCATTTTAATCTCTTATGCAAAAGTTGTAAGTATTTTTGAATGTTTTTGTTTGTTTCTCATTCTTTGGCCTTTGTGGCAACTATTTATTTTATACTAATTAAATAGTAAAAGTAATTGAAAGGTAGTTATAAAGGAAAGAACAGTAATGATTTCCTTTACCATTTTTGACCATTTGGAAAATGATTAGTGTCTTAGTCCATTTGGGCTGCTATAGCAAAATACCATATACTGGGTGGCTTACCAACAACAGAAATTTATTTCTCACAGTTCTAGAGGCTGAAAGTTCAAGTTCAGAGTGACAGCATTGTCAGGTAAGGGTTGCAGACTCCTTATTGTATCCCCAGATGGTGAAAGAGGCAAGAGATTTCCCTGGAGTTTCCTTTAAAAGTCACTAACCCCATTATGAGGGCTCCAACCTCATGATTTAGGGAACTCCCAAAGTTCCCACCTCCAATACCATCATCTTTGGGGGTTATAATTCCAGTATATGAATATTCAAACCATAGCAATAAACTTTGCAACTACAAACACAGGAGCTGAAGAAAGGTAAAGAGTGTGATGTGTGCAAATGGTAGGGGGAAAGGTGAGTAGCAGTTGAGAGAGGAAGTAAGATGGTAGGTAACTAGAGAGTGAGATGGGCAATTCTGAGAGCTCATAAAAGAGAGACACTCACTTTCATGGTCTCTTTGTAGTTTTTCTACAAGGCTTAATAGCAGAAACCATAAGAGAAACAAACATGTCTTATGTTATTAATTCTTCAAGCAATGAAAACCTTTGCATTCCTAAGCTGTTTATTTTAACAAACGTTGACGGCAAATAAAAAACACAAGTCATAATTTAATCTTCCTTGATAACACTGGTCCATAATTTTATCTATCTTTTCTTGCACAATGCTATAATGCAGAATACAATTCTACACCAACTTTCCATTTTTAAGCCTTTCCTTTGCTATCAGGTTGTCAGTTCTGTCTGTCTGTCTGTCAGTCTGTCTGCTGCTGCCAGAATGCCTGCCTCTAGCTTGCTTCCCATCTTTTCTGGGGCTTGGAAAACAGATAAACTGAGCTGGCTAAGAGTTATCCATAAAATACATTAGCTTTAAGGCTGCAAAATCTAGAATCACAGCCTAGACTGAGCCTCTGTGTTTCTCAACAGCCATTCTGGGGTACAGCAGCCTTTTCTCTCTTACAATCATGCTCAGGGCTTCATTGAAGTGGTGCAAATTCTGACTCCTTAATAAACAATTAAGAAACCATAGTCCTCCTCAGGCTCATTATTCCATTTCTCTAGACAGCTACAACTTGGGTTTTAGGATAAGGGTACTAAATCACTGCTACCATTCACTTTCCCAAGGAAAGACTTGCAATTAGCTTAGCTTCTCCCCAAACAGTCCTGTGACCAATCACCATTTTCCTACCTACCTTCCCCTCCTGCTTACCACAGTTGCTTGCTCTGAGCATGGAAACTCTCTAGGGCTCAACAAGAACAGTCTACAGTTCAGTGGCAGCCTTCTCCACCACATGTGCACATCTGCTCTTGCAAAATGGGAAGAAAATAAAGTACTAAAGGTAACATGGAAATTCAGAAACCAAAATAATATTTTAGCTTCTTTTAATTAGAGGAAAAAAAACTGAAAAAGGGAAGTTCTGTGAGTAGGTCAAATTATGTTAGCTCCCATGACTTATTAGACAAGTGTCTTTGCTATGGAAATAATTGTTTAAAATGCACAGTTTATGATAGAATTTGAAAAAGGACAAATTATACCTATATAAGGAAAAGTATATTAAAGATAATTCTGAGGCTCTAAGCTAGATAAATTCTGATATCTCCAATAGTTGTGTAGAGAGGACTTTTCATGAGAAAGATCAAAAGTTAACTTGAGGGAATCTCCAACAAGGTCTTCAGCAAGCAAGTGACATAGCAGAAGGTGCATGATGTGTGCATCATGGGGTTATGTGTTCAAAGGTAGTCATATTGATTATAGTTGTACAGTTTGAATTCCTCTGACTGGATTCCCAGTGACTTTAGATGTGTTTGGAATAGATGGTCTTTACTAAAATGAGGACCTCATTCATAAGTATGTTTGTGTTTTCTTTTTCACCAAATCTATATAAGCATAAGTCCTATTAATTTACCTTTTAAAATTCTCTCAATTTATCCTCTCTTCTCTACTAAACTGGAATTGCCTTAGGTCAGACCCTCATCATTTCTACCTTGGACTACCTACAATTGCCTTCTAATAGATCGCCTTACCTTCCATCTCACCATCTGGTCTATGTTCCACACATCACTAGAATGATCTGGGTAACAAGGAAGATCTAATCATTAAAATTGTTTAATGTGTCCACATTTCTTTAGGAAAATTCTAAATCTGTAATAAAAATGTACCAATATTCCCGATTTAGTTTCTTCCAACCTCACTAGAGTCACTTCTTGTCCTCCACCCCCCACCCCAGGTACCTTACATTCCAATAACACAGAACTCTTTGTCACTTCCTCAATGTCCCATCCTCTCTTGCCTTTAGGCCCATTGTTTGTCTTCTTTTCTCCACCCTGCATCCTGAAACAGGCTGTCTTCCACTTGCCCTAAGAGACTCAAAGTTACCTCCTCCAGGATACCTTTACCAACAGTACACCTTTCCATTCCAGACTGCCCCACTCCACCCAGGATGGCTTAGGTGTCTAACTATGTTTTTCCACAACACCAGGCATATAATTCTTATCAGACAGCATGTTTGTCATGTTTACTTCTCCACTCCTTCCCCACAAGAAGAAAGTTTTCTAAGGGCCAGGATTGTGTTTTAATACCTGTATCTTCAGCAAAAGCTCATCATAAAGTAGATAATTTAAAAATGTTTGTTGAAGGAAGAAATGAAGAAAGGGAGAGAAGGAAGGGAGGGAGGGAGGGAGGGAGGGAGGAGGGGAGAGGAGGGGAAGAGGAGGGGAGGGGAAGGGAGAAACAGAGGGAGGGAGGAAATAATGGGGAAATCCTTTTCAAAATTAACCTTGGCAACAAAAAATTCTGGGAAACAATTGAGTAAAACCTCCACCTTAATACCCAAGTAAAGCCTGCATTTAAAATGCTCTTCAGGAGGCATATTGAAAGTTTTTTTCTTGGAAGTGTGCTTGCTGGGAGTTACATGATGACAAGAATTCATATCTTAAGGCAACAAAATCAAAATTCCTTAAAAGAAAAAGCATGTTGTTCTCCCAAAAGTTTGCAGAACCCATAATAGATCTTATATTCTGCTATTTGTTCCTGCTTCAGGAGCATACCTGACAGTCTCATGGGTTACTAAAAGTATACCTCTCATCAATGCTAGTCAAAATTTTTTTGGATTTAGATTTCAACAAAGAACTAGCAAAATGTTTGTAGTGCTGAGTTGTGCCATCTGTGTGCACTACAACTCAAGGGACTACTTCATTGATGTGTTAGCAGAATAGTGTTATAAAAGGAATTCACAATGAAAGCTGTAATGACTTCCTCTTTAGGCCATTTGATTTGGGATCAAATATGACATATGCAAAAGTCCTAGGATCAACCTTGCCAAATGACAAGCTTGCAGAGTTCATAGTAAGTAAGGGCACAGTTTCTTATTTAACGGCTGTGCCCATCAATCAAGCACAGCTTTCTGGCCAAGATGGTCAGCAAGGTCTGCTGCACGGGAATGGATATTCCAGAGTCCCTGCCAGTCAGTGCAAACACACTAACCTCGGTTCAACTTGCAAGGTGATATCTCTGCTCCTTCTCTGGCAAAGCCAATATCTTGCTAGAAAGAAAGGGAAGCCATTCACATCACCCCCAAAGGAAACTTAATAGCTAACATCACAGTTCCCATTATTGACCACTGGACACATGATGGTAAATCCAAGAAGGGATCTTCACATCCAGAGGGTCCAGCACAAGATGCTCTAGGATAACAAAGTGTTGGTACTGCACTGGTCTGCACCGTAACACAAGAGGGGAATGGAGTCTGGTTATGCTAGATCAAA